GAATCTGGGAGGGCCCCACAGAATTTCAAAGGGCCAAAGGGCCAAAGGGCTGGCTGCTTTTGGTCAGCCAGCTAGCCCCGGGTTGACTATTTTTTTTTTAATGTTTTGTTATTCCTGTCGGTTATAACCGACATGATTTATTAAGAAAAAATTCAAATGAAACAGCTACTAGCCGTTGCATTTGATTTGATTTTTTTTTACATTATTATTATTTGTTTCATATTTTTTTTCCTATAACTTCTATTTCACAAAATTTGTTTCATATTTTTTTAAAATTTAATTTTTTTCTATAACTTCTATTTCACAAAATTTGTTTCATATTTTTTTTAAATTCCATTTTTTTCTATAACTTCTATTTCACAAAATTTGTTTCATATATTTTTTTTAAATTCTATTTTTTCCTATAACTTCCTAAGCCATTATACAACATTAAATTAAATTAAGTAACATGAAACAACATTAAACAACGGTTAGCTAACGTCATGCTGACGTCACTTAGCCGTTGAATTTGAATTTAAGTTGCAGTTTTTAAATAATAAATTATGTTTAGCCCTATGGGCTTTTGGCCCTCGGTTGAAGACGGAGGCAAATATAACCATGTACTATTCAATAAAAATATTAATATCTTGAAAAATTTTAGAGGGCCAGAAGGCTAAAACGAGTCATTTGATCAGCCATCAGTTGGACATCGCCTAAAGTAATCCGCGGGCAACGACATGAAAGTACCGCCCATTAAGATGAGCTCGACCTGAAAACACAAATTCAGTACCAGTTATAAGGCGACAACTATGCATATTACTCTATCATGGAAATCTGCAAACCCGAAAATAAACTCTTTAAGCTCTAAACATAGAACAGACCAAACCTTGTCTACACTGTGACCCAATCTCTTCAGCTGATCTATCCTGCTTCTAGCCTGGACATATGGGTTGTATCTAAACACACAAAACCAAATGATTAACTACCAAATTAACTTCAATAATCCAATTTTAAACACCAATTCCTTCAAATAATCTCTTCATTACAAAGCTCTCAATTTCATGGTGAAAAATCAATCAAGCCAAAAACTTTAAACTTCGAAACGAATCATGAATAACATAAAACTGGAATTCCCTATCAAGTGTTCGATAAAATGCGTCAATGAACTAGAGAAAGCCATACGTTGCCCGAATTGCGCGCAAGCTAGTAGGCTTCTATCCAGTGTAAGACTGAGTGCTGTACTCAAAGTCCGAATCGGGACCACCGGGGCAGTACACGCAAATATTACCGGTGGTGGCGATGTGGGGGCACCGATGAGGCTTCGACATCACGGCCACGACGGCGATGCCCGAGGCGGTCCGGACCGGCTTGGCCCGGAGCTTGGAGAGAAGAGGTTTAGCACCGCCGTTTCTATGCTTCAACTCGGGTTTGTTAAGGTTTAACAGACTTTCTGGTTTTTTGGTCAATTAGCTAAACAAAATTATTCTCCAAAAATTACTAGAAAAAATGAACTATTTTTATTTTTAACTTTTGGGTATGACATTAAAAAGGAAAGGATATTTGATAATAAATATATTTTTTATGCTTGATTTGGCTTAAATTATAAATTATTACAGAGACGGTTTGCAAAAATTTGTTTTTTATAATATTTATTTTAATTTTTAAACTATTAAACGACATAAATAAAAAATAAATCTAAAGACTTAAATAAAAAAGATAAATACAGAACAAAAGACGATAAAAATTATTTTCGCAAACTTTCCCCATTAAATTGCAAATGGTATAGGAAAAAAAGTTTAAATTAAAATTAACATAATAAAAACTAAAAAATTTGTGTATTTTTGGAAATCAAACGCAGCCGTGAAGTCTCGAAACGGTCTCTTCCCGAAACTGATTATTTTTCCCGCCGAAAAAATAGACTCACTACGTATCGGTGAACAAAAAATCGGCTGCAAGAAGCTTCAGATTGATGCAGAGAGAAACAAACAAACGCGGAGGAGAAGGCTCCAAAACATGAAGCGAAGTGGAAGAGAAGAAATCGCAGCCGTGAAGAAGGCGAAGCACGTATACCAAGTCATCTGCGCGCTTGTTCTTCTCTTCCCTCTCGACGCCTCTCTTCTCTCAGGTAACTTTCCAACTTCTACCCGAGTTCCTGAAACGCCTGTTTGGTTTCCGAGAAATTTCCAAAACCAAAAGATTGAACTTTTTTCACTTTTTGTGTCGTTTGATTGTAAGTGAAAGAATGATTTTTTTTGGAAGTTGAATGATGTGAAATTTGGAACTTCAAGTGCTATTGACGAGCAATACAGAGAGCAGGTGAGCTAATGAATTTGGCAAATTTGTGAATTTTATCGAAATTTATTTGTTGCTGCGATTTTTCTTGAGTTCTGAGCTTCTGTTGTTGTGTTGTGTGGTGCAAGGAAGAAAATATCGGTAATATCGGAAATATCGGTAGTCCGAAAACACGGAAATATCGATGGAAATATCGGGATAATATCGATATCGATAAAAATTACATGGAAACCACGGAAATTGTAAGAAAAACTTGGAAATTTTTAATGAAACTTTGTAGGATGTTTATTTAGTCAATTATCTATTAGTTTATCACAAAAAATTGGAAGGAAATGCATTGCATGATGGATTTAACTGATTTAAGTTGATTATATAGCGAGCTGGCAAACATTGTGAGTGTAGAAAATATGTAGTAATTAATGAAAGAAGTTTAAAACACACCATAATCATTTATATATAATTAATTAGTACAATATTTGGAGGTTTTATTTAGGATATTAAAAAAAAAAAAAGGGAAGTGAATAAAATGATGATGAAGAATAATGTGCCAAATTTTGACAATTTTAAATTTCTTACACATAAGCATGCGTCTAGGCGTTGAAGTTCCAAATTATAGTATATCAATTAACGATTGAAAATCAATACATTGAATAAGATTAAACTTTAATTTGGATGCCGATTATGTTTTTTCAACTTGATATAAAGTAAAAGTATTGAATTTTGGAAGCTAGGAGTGTGTCAATTGAATTTTTGGCTGACGTGCAAGGTATCAATCTCTTCGTCTCTTCGAGGGGCTACAACTTTCCTTTTTGTTTCACTCAATTTCGTTGCGTATTGAAAAAGTTATACTCATTTGAATCTTACCCAGTTTCCGGCGACCTCAGTAGATTTCGAGGCAATTTCCGGCCAAACCACAACGAGTCAGACGTCTTGTGAGGTACCATTCTCTTCGTCTATTCGAGGGCTACAACTTTCCTTTTTGTTTCACTCAATTTCGTTGCGTATTGAAAAAGTTATACTCATTTGAATCTTACCTAGTTTCCGACGACCTCAGCGACCTCAGTGACTTTCGAGGAATTTTCCGGCCAAACCACTACGATTCAGACATCGTGTGAGGTACCATTCTCTTCGTCTATTCGAGGGCTACAACTTTTATTTTTGTTTCACTCAATTTCGTTGTGTATTGAAAAAGTTATACTCATTTGAATCTTACCCAGTTTCCGACGACCTCAGCGACCTCAGTGACTTTCGAGGCATTTTCCGGCCAAACCACTACGATTCAGACATTGTGTGAGGTACCATTCTCTTCGTCTCTTCGAGGGATACAACTTTAGTTTTTGTCTTGCTTGATTTCGTTGAGTTTTGACAAAGTTATGGCCGTTTAAAGTGAGTGCAAAATTTCGGCCGAAATTTTGATTTTTTCCCCCATTGGGCGAGTCCCACATCGCCCATGCAAGGAAGTGAGCAATGAATTTTTCCTATAAAACTCACACTCCCCTGGTGAGATAATCAAAACTTGTTTGGCCTTTGGGCCATGATCAAGTTAACTATGTGTTGAGTTTTCTCAACATATTTAAGTATGTTTTTAATAAAATATCGTGATATTATCGATAATTTTGAAAATATCGCGATATTATCGATAATATCGTGATATTCTGACAAAAATAGGTTGGATAGTTAAAAAAATTTCGGAACTTCAAAAAAACGATAATATCGGCGATATTTTGCCGATATTATCGATTTTTTCCTCCTTGGTGTGCAGCTACTTAGTTCCGAGGCTCCTTCGGCAGATGAGAGGAGAGAGTGGTGGCACGCATTCTATGGAGGAGCCGCATTTTCGTCATCTGCTCGGTTTCCGTTAATTGGTATTTTTTTTTAGCTCTAGTTACCTTGCCATCTATGATGCATGGACACGGATATGGGGATACGACACGGGGATACATCAAATTTCAAAAAACGAGGATACGATACGTCAAGGATACGGCAATTAAAAATATGTATAAATAAATAAATAAATAAATAAAAATATATCTAAAACATTATAAAATAAGCATTCAAATTTATTATTCAATAAACTCTAAACTGTTAGAAAGATAGTCCATCCAACAAGCAATTAGTCTTAAAACTTGAAAAAGTAAAAAGAACATCCAAATGAAATTAACAAAAAAAAAAGTCTCATTCAACTTCCACGTTCATGATGTCTCCTCCAGTAATCAAAGTAGTCTCCAATGACGGTTCATCAAGTGAAAGGTTAGCAATATCAAGCATCCCGACACTTTCTTCACCCAAGTTTTCAAAGCCATCTCCTCCAACATCCCACAATTGACTAATACCTTCTTTGTAGGTTGCGTTATTCCTTGATAAAAGACGAAGATTATTATGCACAAATACCAAATCCTCGGCTCTTTGTGGTGTAATCTTGTTCCTTCTTAGAGAGTGAATAAAACTGTAAGTGCTCCAATTTCTTTCACAACAAGAGGAGGAACAAGGTTGTCCAAGTAGCTTCAACGCTATGGATTGGAGACTAGGTGTAGAAGCTCCATGGACAATCCACCACATTACTGGTTCCAAATGAAACCTATCATTCATAGAATCAATAGCTCCAAAGTCATTCAAGCACATAGAGAAAGAGGCATACTCCACATTGATACTTCTTCTAATTTCCTCATTGGAAAAGTATCTCTCAAAACACTTTTTCCTTTCAGTTGTAAGCTCAACATCTCGGTGTAGAGCAACCCGACTAGGGTCTTCTTGGAGCCATTCTGAACTATAATACCTAAAATAAAAAGAAATAGCACTTTAAAAATATAAATCATAAAGCTAAAGATTAATTTTGGAAGAGTTTATAAGGATATTAGCAAAATCATTACCTTGGATTTAATGAATGCGCCAAACAATGAAGTGGTGTGCTACTTTTAGTCCATCGCTCTAATAAAATGCGATACACCGCATCAAAAAAAGCTGCTTTTTTCATGTAATGCCTTGCGCTCATTCCTGTAGATAGCAGCTTTCACCTTTTCAATCATAGCATCCCACCACTCATACACCAAATGAAGACAAGGTTTATCTGTGTCAGCCATTCTAATAACCTCATATATTGGAGCTGTAAAGAAAAGAATATAATCAATCTTCTCCCAAAAGTACTCATCCAATATTTTTTGCTTCACCGTCATTGCTTTAACCAAATCATCTTCTTTGTACAAAGCCCAATTTGGGCTAATCACCATTTGTTGTAAACCTTCCTTTACTTCCTTAAATCTTCTAAGCATCACAAGTGTGGAAGCAAATCTGAAAAATTTAATAATTAGGATAGCTCATAATTGAATAAGAAAAAAAAAGGAAAAAAATTGGAGAAAACAAACCTTGTTTCGGCAATGGAGAGCAACTTTAGTTTGCAATGTTCATTAAACATAGACAATCTCATGCTATGGTTCATAATAAAAAATTTTATGGACCAAACATCACTTGCAATAGTTGAAATCCAATTGCAGTCATCATACGAAACATCTGTTTGTTTCGGAGAGCATATACTCTTCAAAGCAAGATTAAGAGTGTGAACAACACAGGGTGTCCAAAAGATATGGGGATAGTGGGCCTCAATAAGTAGCTCAGCAACTCTACAGACAGGAGCATTGTTAGTGATCACTTGAACAACATTTTCATGACCAATTTCTTTAATAGCTTCTGTAAGGAAGTTGGCAATACAATACTTGTCTTTATATTCACCTTCACAATTAATTGCCCTCAAGAACATAGGCCCACTTTCACAAGTTGCCATAATATTAATAAGTGGTCTCCTTTGTGCATCTGTCCACCCATCACTGCACAAACTTACACCTTTAGTGCTCCATGTGCGCTTGATTGGCTGGAGGCATTGCTTAATGTGACTCTCTTTTCTTGTTGCAGAAAAGTAGTTCTTAGTGCATTGTAACCTGGTGGAACATACCCTGGAAGTGTAGAAGCTCGAACATATGAGTTTCGATAATGCGGATTTCTTGCAAGGTTAAATGATAAGCCACCTGTATAAAACATCCTTGCGACTTCAGCATCACATTGATCTCGAGCTTCCTTGTTAAAAGCTTTACTAAGAGGCCTACTTGTTCCTTTTCTCTTCTTTGGATCAAGATTCACTTCAGGTTGATCATAACAAAAAGAACCAGTGTTGGGCAAAGAAACATTCTTAGGAGCAGAACTCTTCAGCTTATATTCACACTCCCGAATTAACTTTTTCATTTCTGCAAGATTTTCATCAGTAACCTTACTGCAAGGTGCGACCCCATTTCCAGCCATTTTTAACAAATGAAACCTGACCCTAGAGTATGATCCTTTGTAAGTTTTGACATACTTCCACAACGGAGTATGATCATTTTTAACAATCTCATCCAGATTAGCATTATCATCCGGATTAGCAATATCATTTGCATGATTATTAGGGTGATTCATTTTCCTAAATCAACAAACATATAAAAAGTAAGAGTTAATCCACTGTAAAGAAAAAGTTATTATAATCTAAATATCCATACCACTACACAATAATATACTATAATATGCAAAATACAATAATATTATAATAACAGAAAAAGTTAAAAACAGAAAAGCCAAAGTTGTCAGATTTGAATGGACTATGCGGGTAGTGGAATGGATGGGTAGTGGGTACTATAATATTATATTCTTTTCCTAGGGGAATCAGATTGTCTTCCAATTGGTATTATAATATTATTGTCTTCGAATGGGTAGAATCAGTAAAGCTGAGAGACTAGTGAAAAAACAACTAAAGCTCACCAGTTACGACTCACCAGGAGTTGCAGACAAATGAAGGAGACGACGGAGCAGTTGTAGATGAAGAAGAGGGAGACGATGGCGCAGTTGCAGATGGAGACGACGGGTCACGGAACAGTTGCAGATGACGGTCAATGGGGATTTGTGAAAGTCTCCCAAGCAGAGTGATTTCTTAGAGGTAAATCCGAATTTTATTTTTTTTCTGATTATCCTTTGATTTTAGAGTGATTTCAGTTAACTAAGTTCGATCAATCACGATTCTATGCAGATTTTTTGTGATTTTTTTTGTGATTATCCTCCTATTTCAGTTTCAAATGTATCTGAAAAGTAGGATACATGTATCTGGACAATACAATACGCGTATCTCATCAGTCTCAAACGTATCCTTTCACTCCAATACGTATCGAACGCGTATCCACGCCTATCATCTGCGTATCCGTATCCTCAGCGTGTCAGATACGGGATACGGTTGCTTTCTCGCGTGTCCATGCATCGTAGCTTGCCATTGTGTTTTTAAAAATTTATGTGTGTAGAATTCCCTTGAAATATGTCGGCTTTTATTTGGCTGTAAATTTTGAAAATTTGAGTTTTGGGAAGAAAACTATGTGTCAAATTACCTACGCTCCAGGCCGGTAGAGAATGGCGTTGAATCAGATGGAGTTTATGAAATCTTAAGATCATAACTGATGGTTGATTTTCCTGGAGATTGGCTTGAGGGTACTTTGGCATCTCTTTCGGTGGTTTTGGTTTGCCATTGTTTTTGTATATATCGACACCTTTTTTCGCATGCCTTTACGTATGAATGTTCTGTCGCTGCGCGCAGATCTTGCTAGCTTGTTTCCCCAGAGTTTTCATAATTCTGAAATATACATTGATAATTTATGCAAAAAAAAAAAAAAAAAAAAAAAAAACTCTTTCCTCCTCCCCCTCTCTCCAGGGTTGATCTATAGAGTAGCCTACATTTTTTTATAGATACTTGGTTTTTTTTTTTTTTTTTTTTTTTTTTTGGCCATCAACCTTGACATTTTTTTGGGTAGTAATTTCTGAAATATTGGATTCAAGCATATGATTACTGTCCCGTCTTTGATTATACATCATCAGATAGGAAGTAGACAAAATTCATGCCGGTAAGGTTTCGGAGCAAACGAAACTCACTTAGTTGAAGCTCAGTTATGGAAATCTTGATTTTCTTTAATTAGTTATATGGAAGAATGCATTGTTTTACTACTGTTTCATTTTGCAGTATTGTTTTGTGTTATACAAGTGTTTAATTTCAGCTTTCCTCTTTATTAGGTCAATGTTTTCTGACAAATTTTTACTCTGGAAAGTATTTCGTGTTTGTTGCCTGCGATGGATCCTTCAGTTTACTATTCTTGAACGCCCACCTGATAGTAGTTCACTCGCTAAGGTCACAATACCCGAAATTTCTTAGATACATCGCAGCATCTGGTAGCAGTTTGGTCTAAGAAAGAGTCTGGGCAATTGGCCCCAATGGAACAGAAAATTTGTATCCTTCATGTCTTTATCCAGCATCTGGTATAGTCTGCGATGAATCCTGATGATTTTTCATGTCAGGACTTTACAATGGGAAACCCTGTAGAAGCTACAAGCCTAACATTAATATGAAATGCCTGTAACTTTCCTATAGAAAATCCCATTGCAGTCGAGAGAAGTTCATTGTTTTATTATACTTCTCTTGGAATTTTTTGTCCCTTAATCTTGCAATATTAGATGCATCTGCAGCTATAGGCCTTTCCATGGAAAACATGTCTAAAGAAGAATTAAACGAGACCAAGGATGTGATGCACTCAATTCTCAAAGGAGTGAGCTGTAAATACTTCTCTGTGTCTCTATCAGTATTCTCTCCTCCAACGCCAGTGGTCATTATCATCCTGTTATATCTTGTCTTTGCTGGTAGGTAGGCTAGAAAGCCCTAATCATTTAATTCGGAAAATGGCTATCAGTATTGCTTGTGTTCTCCAAGGTGATAGACCCCAACAATCCTCTATACCTTGATGATAGCTGCACTGGGGACACTATCGACTGGGAGTTTGGGTTGTCATACCCTTGAAAAAAGAACTCCGGGCACCTCAAATTGCATACAACAGGGTATCGACAATCCTGAAACATCTACCTCAGTGCTGAAAAAGGGCTTAACCCCATAAGTCTAGTGATGGTTAGCAAGTAATGGTACGAGTAGAAATTGGAAATCATATGAATCTAAGTTGGTTGATCCAGTTGCACTAAACTACGAGTCGGTCTCGGACGACAATGAAAATGACGATGCTAATGAAATGAGAGTCTGATGTTTCAAGTGAGTCATCTTTACAGCCATATGATTTGTGTAATTTTCAGGAGCCAAGGATAATATTCATCCTGCTTGTGTAATTTTCACAATTGGTCGACGTAGTTGCTGCACTTCGGAATTCTGATGATGCTGATGGGGTAAGTAAACCATATATGTTCATTGGTTTTAAAATTTTGTCAAATGTTCTTACAATAATCATAGGTTCTAAAAAATATTAGGCACTAGTCGGGCAGCGAGTAGGAGCCTAGTGCCTAGACGGCTAGGCGGGGGCTTTCTCATTTGTGGAGATCAAAGACAGGTGCTTTCTCCCATTTCACGATTGTAGACAGGTGCTTTCGCAATTTCTTGGAGCTTGACAATTTCGATTGCCAATTAAGCAATTGAAATTGTTTGGATTTTTATTTCTCCCATTTCACGAAACTGTTTCCTTATACGTTCGCGTTTTTCCCACCACCATTTACATGTCTACAATGCGAAATAAAAAAAAAGGGACATTGTGGTCAGCAATTCAAATGAGAAAACACAGACTTCTATGATCAACAATTGAAAACTAGGAAACGGACACGACGGTGCAGTGTCTGAATCCAAATGTAAAAAAAGAGAACAGGAAACAGACATTGCGTTGCAGTGTCTGAATCCAAATGTAAAAAAACAGAACAGGAAATAGACATTGCATTGCAGTGTCTAAATCCAAATGTAGAAATCAGGAGTCACGTGAGGTGTTAAGCATAGAAGGCATGTGAGTGATGAAAAAATATAGAACCAGGAAATGAACAGTTCAACGTAGTGTCTGAATCAAAAAATAAAAACAATACCGGGAAATAGACATTGCATTACAGTGTCTGAATCTAAAGTAAAAACGGGCACGTATGAGGCATGTGATTGATGAAAAAAAACAAAACTGTGAAATGGACACTGCAACACAACGTCTGAATCCAAATATAAAAAACAGAATTAGGAAACAGACACCGTGTTGCAGTGTTTGATCCGTATTAACCTATTCCAAAATATAAAAAATATGAGAAAGATGGTGCTAGTTGAAGTGGGTGCCAGCTGTAGTGGTAAATTATGCAATTTTTGTTTATTTTAAATGCATTTAAGTATCACAATACATGATTGACCTATTTATATTTAACATAAATATTGATGATCTATTGTCAATATGGTAACTTTGTATTGATTTTATACAAAATCACTCTTTATTTTATCTATTATAATTTCATACAAAATGTTGCAAAAAAAGAAATCATAAAAAATATTGAACAGCAGATACATAAAATTTTAAAAAATTTCAAAGTCTTACAAAATGTAGGAAATTCGAATTATATTCCAAAAATTTTGAGATAAAATCAATTCCGAAATTTCGATAAATTTCGAAAATACAAAATTCCTAATTTGGAACTAATATTTGTTCCAAAACTTTTTCGGATTGGCATTGGGTTACTTGTTTCAGATCCAATTGGACGGAAAATCACCCCTAACCTTAAAATTAAATTGGAATTATCTTATCGATTATTTAATATTAGCTAAATTGATAGAGGTTCAATTGTAAATGTTAATTAAGTGAGAACAACTTGTATTGCATGGCTTCAGTGCCACTGTGGCGTCCTGTGTCAGTAAACACAAGGATATGTGAAAAAAGCTAACATATGTCATTGTATTATTTTATTGGCACATGGCACCATGTGACGGTGCATTTGTTCCATGCAAGTCAAGTCCTCCTTAAAATTGAAGGCCATCTTCGTCCGTTCAAAAAAGAAATATTAATTGCAACAAAAAAACTAACATTTTTTTAATAGAGCAATATCATTAGTGAGTTAAATAATTAAGAAAAATGAGAGTCCATGAAGACGTGAAATATTAAATTTTGACTATAAAAATAAATAATAATAAAATATTCTGACAAAAAAAATGAAATTTTTTATTTTTTATTTTTTATAAAAGGAGTATTAGTTGAAAATGTGTTGAATTTACCAGTCGAAAAATGATTTTGACACTCCCCTTTCTTTTCCTTGCCTATCTCTTTGTTTATGACTTTTTTTTTTACTTTATTCAATCAAACCGCTAGAAAAATAAATAAAAAAGCGCAAAAGAATGAAAAAGAGTGTGAAAATCGTTTCCTAAGACAGTTTAGCCAAATTGACTAACCATAATTAGCAAAATCATTGGCCAAACAATTCCACTCGTTACATTTATGCAAAAAAATGCAATCTTAAGCGAGCACTATATCATAAGCAATTTGCCCTAAACTTTGAGAAACAAGGGGACTTTCACAGAACGAGTTCATAGGAGATGAACAACATACATAGAGTCTGTTTCTAACAAAAAGTGAGGGTATGGCCTCTCTTTTAACCCACACAATCCGAATTCCTTGCCAAATAAATTTTCTTAGACTCTAATAGTTCGATTATCTATGTTAAAGTTTCAGTCATTGTCGTGCTCCTGTAATTAATTGAAAATAGTTGCTTCCAAGTGATGAAGAATAACATATAGATATAGATGCTATACTTTAACCATAATCCTAGCTATTTTGTCACAAATTGCTTTTTTTTTCTTTCTTTTTTTGTATCGTAATGTCACAAGTCGTTCTTACGGATGCTATGTCGTTCAATACGCCCTCCGATAAATGGCGTAGTTATTTAGAAAGAAAAATTAAATTAATAGAGAGAGAAAAATAAACAGAAGCAGCAATTTTAATTTTATGGTCATCCAATCTAATAATCTCTACATATACATTCCATGGTAACTCTGAAATCTTCCTCAATCTTCTTCCAATTTGAAGCCCCACATGTACTGTGCCCAATGTCGACCGGATTCACCAAATGATTCGAAAGGTGGAATAGGATTGTTTGTCAACCACGCGCCGAACTTGTCAATGAAGTCGGCATACGACATCCCCGCGCGGTTTCGTCTTGTGAAGAACAGATAGTGTGCCCGACCGTAACCTGCAAGAAAAGAAACGAAACAAAAAAACTCATTCAGTCATTTAAACAGACAGTTGGTGAGCAACGAACAAACAACTAGAAATCATGGTTACATAATTTGCAAGTCGAAGTCTATGGTCAGTAACTTACGGACACCGACAAGGACGATGAAAATAATGAAAAGTATTGGGACGCAGATCAAACAAGCGATTCCCACCCTAATCAGGAGCACAGTATACAAGGCCAGCACACAAAGGGGCACCAATACGATTGCCTTGGTCAATTTGATTGCCAAATTCAAAACGTTCCGGAAACTTCTGGGTTCCCAGAGCAAAGCTTCCATAGCGACTCTCGCAGATTTCTGAAGCTCTTGGCGTTTGGTTATAAACCAGTCCTCGAAGTTATCTATCATCCTTAACACGTTATCTATCATCGACATCGTTGCCGTCGGATTCTTCAGATTCCACTTTCTGGAAGGAACAAAAACAGGCGACGAGAAAAGACGGAAAGAGCCAACGTTAGGGTTTGAAACTTGAACGTCGATGATGTATGTATGCATGTAAATGGCGTGTCTCGTTGTATATATAGGATGTCGAAGCCAAGTACTCATAGTCCTGGTAGGAGATTACGTCCGTCTATCTCACGGATTTTGATTACAGCCCTTAGATCGATCGAACGGTCAAGATTTAACGACAACACTAAGCAATTACTGAGTTTTTGTCCTAATCCTACTCTACTGTGTCTTTAAAATAATAATTGGTAGTGTCACCGTTTAGTGTACTCTTGATGATACACGAAAGTAATTTACATAATACAAGTATATTATTATTGTGACGTTTTATTGCAGTGATACATTGTTTTGTAGAGAAAAACTTATACATATCGATGTTGTATTATTGGCATAAAACTTAATAGTGTCCCTAAATTATGTAAGTCAATCTCTCACCCTACGCCCTCAAACATTTGTACTTGTGTCCATTCCGAATAAGGGTCTATCTAGCTCTAGGCACATATAATTTAGGGTATTCTAAACATTTATACTCGACCGACGATAAATTCTAGAATGCGTCCGTCTATCTCACGGATTTTGATTACAACCCTTAGATCGATCGAACGGTCAAGATTTAACGACAACACTAAGCAATTACTGTGTTTTTGTCCTAATCCTACTCTACTGTGTCTTTAAAATAATAATTGGTAGTGTCACCGTTTAGTGTACTCTTGATGATACACGAAAGTAATTTACATGACACAAGTATATTATTATTGTGACATTTTATTGCAGTGATACATTGTTTTGTAGAGAAAAACTTACACATATCGATGTTGTATTATTGGCATGAAACGTAACAGTGTCCCTGAATTATGTAAGTCATTCTCTCACCCTACGCCCTCAAACATTTGTACTTGTGTCCATTCCGAATAGGGGTCTATCTAGCTCTAGGCACATATAATTTAGGGTCTTCTAAACATTTATACTCGACCGACCATATTGGCCAACGATAAATTCTAGAATGCGCACGTTGTTAATCATGTGAGAACATTATCAACTGGACTTGTTGGAAACACCATAGAGTCATGCTCTCGTAATCGTAAGGTCTTTATTTTGATGACATGTCAAATTGCATACAACAGGGTATCGACAATCCTGAA